ACACACCATCCCCACCTCAGCTGTTCATCCAGAGCGATCATGGGCCTCTTCTCTGCATCTCTGATCAGTCTTCTCCTTGTTTGAGATGATAGTTTGGAGGGACGGCCGGGGTTTGGTAGATTTGCAGTGGTCTGATACAGATTCAGATTCAGATTCATTTATTCGCCATTTGCAGTAACACTACATTGGAATACATTAGTAAAAGTTCCCAGTGTGCACAGGACAAGTACAGACATAAAACAACATTAAAAGACAAAAATAAAACACATTTTAAAAACAGTAAACAAATGTCACTGTGAAGTTGACCAACTAAAACAGATCTGTACAAGTGCAAAAACATTAAAGTGCTCTATTCAAACTGCTAACAGCTCGTGGAAAAAAACTATTAGCATAACGAGATGCCCTGCATCTCAGAGAACAATATCTTCTGCCAGAGGGAAGAAGCTGGAACAAGGCTTTTCCTGGGTGGCCAGAAGAGTCATTGATAATTCTCAGGGCACTGTCGAAAAGTCTGGATTGATAAAGAGCCTCCAGGACAGGGAGTTCACAGCCTACAGTCCTCTTAGCAGAGCGGAGCACCTTGTTTAAAGCTCTCTTTTCTTTATCTGTGATGTTACCGAACCACACAGACACAGAACCAACAAGTAAACTCTCAATGGTGCAGCGATAAAAGTTCAGCAGAATCTTAGAGTTAGTGGTAAATTCTCTAAGTTTCCGCAGAAAGTAGAGTAGCTGGCGAGCTTTCTTTACGACCCGGTCAGTGTTTTTAACCCATTTCAGGTCATTAGACAGAGTTAGACCCAGAAACTTACACTCCTCTACAATCTGCACTTGGGAGTTATCGATTGCGACAGGCAAATGAGAACTATTGCGGCTAAAATCAAAGACCAGTTCACATGTTTTGGATGGGTTCAGCTGGAGGTTGTTAGCCTTACTCCACTGAACCACGTTTTGGATCTCGGCTCTATAAGACGATTCATCGTTATTGCTGATGAGACCGATGATGGTGGTGTCATCAGCATATTTAAGGATCAGGTTAGAGTCTGAGGAAGACACACAATCATGAGTGTACAGTGTAAAAAGTAAAGGACTCAAAATACATCCCTGAGGAGATCCAGTGCTCACAGAAACAGAAATCTCACAGAAATGGAAGATACTCCTTCCATTTCAATATAATTGCTTGCACAGTGCTCCTTGAGATGTTTAAAGCTTGGGAAATCTTTTTGTATCCAAATCCGGCTTTAAACTTCTCCACAACAGTATCTCGGACCTGCCTGGTGTGTTCCTTTGTCTTCATGGTTCTCTCTGCGCTTTAAACAGAACCCTGAGACTATCAAAGAGCAGGTGCATTTATACGGAGACTTGATTACACACAGGTGCATTCTATTTATCATCATCAGTCATTTAGGACAACATTGGATCATTCAAAGATCCTCACTGAACTTCTGGACTGAGTTTGCTGCACTGAAAGTAAAGGGGCCGAATAATATTGCACGCCCCACTTTTCAGTTTTTTATTTGTTAAAAAAGTTTAAATAATCCAATACATTTCGTTCCACTTCACGATTGTGTCCCACTTGTTGTTGATTCATGACAAAAAATTACATTTTTATATCTTTATGTTTGAAGCCTGAAATGTGGCGAAATGTTGAAAGGTTCAAGGGGGCCGAATACTTTCGCAAGGCACTGTACATCAGCAGAGTTGGAGAAGGCTGCCAGGGATCCAATGTTTCTATGATGTAGAAAGAAAATTGCAACAACAACAAAATCTTTCCCTAAAATTCACCTTGTCTTGAACTTGTCTGCAAAGACATTTTTTTGCTCACTGTAAATATAAACGCAACACATGTCAGACATTTGATTTACTAACCCATTTCTAAACTTATTGTCAGTCTCTTAGGATGAATTCTGAGTTTCCTCACATCGCACCTCATTCCCAGTTACACATGTGGGTGCTGTCAAAAATACTCCTTTCTCTCCTTGAACCCAAAAAAAAGTAACACGGTAGAGAAATACCTGACACTCATGGGAACAAAAGACAAAAAGTGTTTCTTGTGTGAACAAAACACAGACTGGAATAAGACACAGGGAAGGTGCAAGAAGAGACACATCCAGCGTGATAATCGTTATACTCAATGGGAGGTGATAGAAACAAAGACAAACTATGCGGTGTGACAGCTGCATCCTGCTGCTTTTGTGATCTGATTTTGTGAAAGAAAAATGGAGAAAGACGAAATAAGTTGTGTGTTGGGATGACGTGATGTTCAAGTCTTTGTTTTATTCTGTTTTAAGTCACGTTATATCTTTGTGAACTGTTAAGCCACTACATTTTTATCTCTATCTCTCAGAATTATCCAACTACTAGAACTCCCAGAGCCGTTATTTTGACCGCTTCAATTCACACCAATGGAGTTCTGAGAAATTCCCCCAAAGAAGGTTTAGATTTTTACCAGATTCATTAAAAAGGCTAATGCTAATGTTGAAAATCAACCTCACAGACAGGATTTTTACGCACCAGAGAAACGTGGAAGTTTATTCTCGGTTTCCTTGAGTTTTTTGCAGACAGAACAAAGTTATAACAAGCTCTATATTGTCAATATTACGTCCCACATGCGTCACACATGGAAAGACATAAGTGTCACAATCCAGGCATATTAGTCATTACACGGGTACACAATCGGAGCAGATACACAATCTGAGTCGTCGTAACCTACACAAAGCCAGATCTCTTGTATAGTTTCTAGAGCTGCAACTAACGATTATTTTGTAATCGATTAATCTATCGATTATTTTTACGATTAATCGAGTAATCGCTTGGCTGTGAATTGTGTAGAAAAAAAAAAAATTTTCATCACAAAAAGCTAAAGTGGCAACACTCGAGGACGTATTGATGGCGTAAACTTAAAGTAAATGTTTGTAACAGGCTCTTTGTGCTAATTCTGCTATCTGATTGGATGAGACACAGATATTCATGAAATTATAAAAACAAAGTCGGTTTTAATCAAAAATACTACATTTTCATGTCATTTTTTCTCTGTTTGAGTCCGTGTGAACCAGAAAACGATTAATCGATTACTAAAATAGTTGTCGACTATTTCAATAATCGATTAGTCGTCGATTAATCGATTAGTTGTTTCAGCCCTAATAGTTTCCCATACTAACTTCTGACTGTTAACGTGTGTTGCTATGGTAACTAGCACTTGATATTCTCTGGTGTAAGTAAGTAAGTAAGCTTTATTTATATACCGCCTTTCACAGACCAGAGTCACAAAGCGGTTTACAATTGTTATTTTTGGGCACTTGTCCTCTCACTCCACACAGAGATAGGAGCGGGGTCGCCGAACAGGAGGCGCATGCCAGACCTATTGTACATATTTTTAGTGGTAGGGGAAACCGGAGTACCCGGAGGAAACCTACGCAGACACGGGGAGAACATGCAAACTCCACTCAGAAAGGCCCTGGTCCGGCCGGGATTCAAACCCAGGACCTTCTTGCTGAGAGGCGAGAGTGCTATCCACTCATCCACCGTGCCGCCCAATTGTGGAAATTTTGTTAAAGGTATAACTTCTCAAATTTTGAAAGTAAAAGTTTTTTGGGTTTTTTAATGACATTGAATTAAACTAGGCAAATATACAGAAAATGTCACAAGTTAGGAAGAGCAAGAATGCACATGAGATGAGATAATTACACTTGCCGTAAAAATGAGCGCTCTGGGAGTTATGGATGTGATTGCTACTGTTTAGATACTGACCATTTTTATTTTTGATGATGATGATTCTTTTGAGAAACTCTGCACTCAGCAATGTCATCAGGTGATCCCTTGATAAAAAGCAATATTCCTGAGCGCAGAGTAATCCAGGACCAGAACTCTTCAGATAGTTGTTTAGCATGCTGGCTGCCTCGTGTTGGCTGGCAGCTGCTATCCATTAGCCCCTGGTTTTATTTAGTATCTCAATGACTCACTTGTTCTGTGGGGTATGCAGATGAGCCGGTCGAGAGCCGTGCCGGGTTGTCCTTTTCTCTGTGTAATTTGTCCTAACATTTCCAGAGAAGGTTAGCCCAGGAACAAGTCTCATTTATTTACCAAGGTAAACAAGGAGTGAAGGGGGGAGTGGACTGGGCCGAGTGAATCATTGCATTGTGGAGCTCAGAGACAAAGCTCTACGGGGGAATAGTTTCGTAATTACTTATCAGCGGTTTTTCTGTTGGGGCTACAGGTACTGAGAGGACTCAGACCTAATCAATGATTGGGTGTTGGATATGGGTTTTGGCTGACCATTGCTTATCGAAATTGCCTTTTTTTAATGGCAGTATTTTGTGCAATATTTTACTTGTTGAATATTGATTTTGGAAATTCTTTTTAAACTTGGTTTCTGAACGTAATAAGCTCATGCGTAGATTGAAACGGAACAAGTTGTTAAAACGAGAAGAACCAAAGGGTAAAAAGGAGTTCTGTAATTTGTGACATTATTTGGGTTCATTGTCTACTGTAAAATAAATGACATGGTTATCCTGAGAAAAATTTGCAGTAATTAGGTATAACATTCCAAGGTAGCAAGCAAATGGGCAATATTTCAAAAATGTAAATATTTATAGATATAATGCCCAATATATTCTTCAATTCAAATGACGATAAAACAGTGCAACAGTTTATCACATACTGACTCAATGTGTTAACCACAGATTTCTATAGTATGTTCTGAGAAATGTAAAACTTTCACTGCCATATGTTCCCTTCAATATGATGGAAACAAACAAACAACCTTCTACTGGCAGATCATCAACAGTTTGAAATCCCTGGACGATTACCACTGTAAAAATGAATTAATTGCATGCAGATCTTATTCTTGGCTGATATTTTTCCCCCTCTCCTTTGTCCTCTACAGTCTTTGCTGGTTGGCGGATGTCTCGCTCCCTCACGGTTCGGGTGGAGCCTGGTTGGAGTCGGGAGGCAGGCCCTGAGCAGCTGCTGTGATGAGGGCTTCAGTGGCCGGGTGCAGAATGACCCTGGGCACGCTCCTCAACGGGCTGCTGGTGTCCGTGGTCGCCGCCCTGCTTTGGAAATACTCCAAACTCAGCGAGCACGCGGCTTTACTGGAGGAAGAGCTCCACATGACCCGGCAATCCCAAGAGCTGTCCCAAGCGCGGATCGACTACCACGTTGCGCTCGAATCTTTACAGCAACTTGGGACACAGATGATTTGCACCGGGAAGATGCACACGGATCGTATATGCAGATTCGACTACCTCTGCTACTGCTCCGACGCAGAGGAGTTTGTCTTTTTCCACTCCAATTCGTCAGTAATGTTGCCCAATTTGGGATCAAGACGCTTTCAACCTGCCTTGTTAGACTTATCATCAGTAGAAGATCACAACACTCAATATTTTAATTTTTTAGAACTACCAGTTGCAGCATTGAAATTCATGCCCAAGCCAGTATTTGTGCCTGATGTGACCCTCATCTTAAACCGCTTCAATCCGGATAATTTAATGCACGTGTTCCATGACGACCTCTTGCCGGCTTTCTACACTATGAAGCAGTATTTGGACTTGGACGATGAAGCAAGGCTAGTTTTCATGGAGGGGTGGGGGGAGGGGCCACATTTTGATCTTTACAAACTTCTTAGTACCAAGCAACCTCTATTGAAAGAACAACTAAAGAACTTTGGCAAGCTTATGTGTTTTACAAAATCCTACGTCGGCTTGTCAAAGATGACCACGTGGTACCAATACGGCTTTGTACAACCGCAAGGACCTAAAGCCAACATTTTGGTGTCAGGAAATGAAATCCGGCAGTTCGCAAGGGCTTTGATGGACAAAATGAACATTTCGAGACCAGAAGAATCAGATGCTAGCACTGAAGAGTTCAAAGACAAAAAGGAGGACTACATTGTGGTTTTTAGCCGCTCAACAACTAGGCTAATTTTGAATGAAGCTGAACTGATTATGGCACTTGCACAAGAGTTTCAAATGCGAGTGGTCACAGTGTCCCTGGAAGACCAGTCCTATCCGAGCATCGTGCAAGTCATTAGCGGGGCCTATATGTTGGTTAGCATGCACGGAGCCCAGTTAATCACGTCGCTGTTTTTACCAATAGGTGCCACAGTTGTAGAGTTGTTCCCATTTGCTGTCAACCCAGAACAATACACCCCTTACAAGACATTGGCGTCCCTCCCTGGTATGGAGCTGCACTACATTTCATGGAGAAACGACCTTGAGGAAAATACAGTTACACATCCAGACAGGCCGTGGGAGCAAGGAGGCATCAGTCATTTGGAAAAAGCGGAACAGGAAAGGATATTAGTCAGCAAAGACGTTCCGAGACACTTGTGCTGTCGGAATCCTGAATGGCTTTTCCGCATCTACCAGGATACCTTGGTGGATATACCTTCATTTTTGGACGCTCTCAAGGAAGGCTTGAAAACGAAACCGATTTTGAAGAAGTCAAAAACCGCGACAATGGTTCACCCAGGAAGAGTTCGCGAACCTCAATGTCAGACCTCTGTTCAAACGTCAGCTGAGGCCAAACTCACAGTCTCTTGGCAGATGCCGTGGAATTTAAAGTTTTTGAAAGTACGAGAAGTAAAGTATGAAGTCTGGATACAAGAGCAGGGAGAAAATACCTACATGCCTTACATCCTTCCACAGCAAAACTATACCTTTTCAGAAAACATCAAACCATTCACGACATACCTGGTTTGGGTCCGATGCATCTTCAACAAAAGTCTTCTAGGACCATTTGCAGATGTGCTTATGTGTAGGACCTAGACTGTAACTTACAACTGGAGACCTCAGTTTTTTACTTATTTCAGTGACTTTTTCCACAAGGTTTAGACCTCTTCTGACGCAGGTGGACTTCTATGAACAATAAGATGGACTGGAGTTTAAGCATATCTATTTATGTGCAATTTTGAACTGTTTTTTTTGTGGTAGACAAAACACTGATTCTTAACATTTTACAGTATGCAATGTAGCTTTTTGTCAACATTAAGATTTTAGAATAGATTTTGTATGTTTTTTGACTTCTTTGAGCGTGTGATTGATTGTTGTGGTCTCATTCGAATCCAGCCAAAACCAAAGTTCCCTTTTTGTGTTTGCCAATCATGTTCCGTGCCATATCACATTAGCCCGTTAGGCATAAGTGCTCTGAAAGGGAGACAAAATTAGTAAGTATAAGCCTATGACTAAAACAAACCTCTCTGGGGTAACACACATTAATACCAAAAGCTAATCGTTGTGTCTATTGTATCTGTTGAAGGTCTTTTTAGGTTCTAGCCAATAACCTCCATTTGAGGTTTTTGCAATCAAACAACAACGCTAATTATTGTGTGTTACGCTTGTCCTGCACAGTCAAAACAAATCTGTGTTTCTGCAAAAAAGTATTTAACTTATTCTAATTGCAGCTAATTAAAATAGTTACATGATTATAGTTTGTGGAAGCTGAGGCCGTTTCACCAGGCTGTAATTAGTGTAACAGATTTCAGCTCCTATGAGAGTTTTCGTTGGCTTTCTTTGCGGTTCAGTTTTGTAATATCGCTCATCAACACTTGGAAAATAAGTCTTTAACGTTTTGCATTATTGTTTCTACATACATATTTTGTTGTTAACACTGGACATTTTCTGTATGCTGAAATCGTTGTGATGAGAATCCTGATAGGTAAAAGTTTTGGTCCGGTCCAAAACACAGCGTGACATGTCATTGGGATATTTATTTCTAGTTTTGCTTTTGACTCCTTGTTTACATGGCAAAAATCAAAATGTTTTTTTGTTGTTGCTTTTTTTCCCTGTTGTCTGAATGCACATTTAAGAGATTATTATTGTTATGTTGGTCCATGTTGAGACTGTGATGTGACTTAGCTGTGTATTTGATGAAATGTTGCTTAGATTCTATCCTGCCAGCCGCATAGAGCAGATGACCTGTCCTGAATGAGAAAATGCAAGTCTGTTTTTCTAGTGAGGAGTTTGTTTATTCATCGGCTGTGACTGAATAAAGAGTATTTCTTACACCTTTGTCTCTGTATTGTCTATTAAACCAGTATACCAGTAAGATCTTATAGCCAGAATCTACATTGTATATACCATAACACAATATATAGCATTTCATTTATATTAATAATCAAAATGAATTGTTTTATGAAGTTCTTTTTAGATGCTTGAGAATATTCATTCACTTTTTATACAGTGGTGGTAAACTCCTAATGTAGCCACAACTGCCTTAGGGCACTCTGTTTAAAGCAAGGCTCCTCCAACCACCACCAGTTGTTCACACACACCCAGAATGTGGGCGAAGTATATGGCCTTAGGACACAATGACGGGCAACTGTTTTTACCAACGGTCTCTCGTCACAGTGCTAACCAGACCCTGGCCTACTTAGCTTCTGAGGTCTGCCAGGATCGGGCTAGTGATTCTGCTCCTACTCATACATGACGAGGCCAACAAACGAAAAATAGCCTAATCATTCCTACATAGTCCATACTTTATAAGCAAATAATATAAGTAATACCTTAGCTTCTGAAAATGCATTTGTCCCTTCTGTTTCTGTAATAGATGTTTGAGGAGGAATGAATACCTTTAAATGGGCCCATAGGCATAATGTGGTTCCCTAAAGCTCTTGTTTGTCAGACAACATGGTGAAGGGTGGAGCTCAAGGCAAATAAATGCTGCAATACAATGGACCTGCAAAAAGAATAATTAGACTTTAAAGAACAATTATTCCTGAGAGATGCTGCTGAATCTTTCCGTTCACAGCAGGTGAAAACATTAAGCTTTGCAGAGGTAGTTTGCTTCAACCCACTCCATTGCTATTGTACTATTGGCTCTCAAAAGCATAGACGTTATTGACCGCACAGTTCTTATTTAAAGTGTCAAACCTGGATAGTTACCATTATTTCTGAAATCCAATTCATTCTGTTTGGACATGTGGGACAGAGCAATGCAGATTCATCCTATCTTTATGTTTACATCTGGAATATATAACGAGTAATATATCGTTAGTTCTGCTACCAGATAAAAGCGTTAGTCCTCTCCATCCTCACAGGAGCTGATGCATGAGATCGCTGCTCATAATCACTTGTTATGACATCACCAAATTTCTTGTCCCATAAAAATCCGTATGATATTCAAACCCACCTGAAAGATGCAATTTCTCCAAAGCTGTTACTCGACAGCTTCTCTGACCTGGAGGCGCTCTGCGGGCTCAGACATGGAGTAAACAATGAGACAGGATTAGCTGTCTGCTGGATGATGCAAAGATAAAGAAATGTCGTTATTTATGTAATAGACAAACTATGATTGCCAGATTCACGTAGGCAGCACTGATGCAGTCCTCGCACACAGTGTATCAGTCTGTGGAAGGAAGGCTGCTCCAGACCAAACGGAATCATTGTGAACTGAAAGAGGCTAGCAGCGCTCTGGAAGGCTGTGAAGGGAACGGACACTTCGAGGGACACCTGCCGCTGTGCATGTAGAGGTGTAGTGATGAACCTGGTCCAGTCAACCCAGCAGCCCTTCAATCCAGGCACCAGGGAGCTTCCTGAAGTAAAGATTAAGAGATTCTTTACTGTCCCACATCGGTTACAGAACAGAATGAGGAGCAAACAAGATAAATGAGCAATAATTCTATACTAAAACAAAATAATTCTCTAACTTTAGCATAATATAGAAGCAAGTATAAAACACTTTATATTTTGATGCAAGAAATATACTGTATAGTTTTATGTACACATCTGTACATGTTAGCAGCAGTGTGGGACAAAGTGACAGTGGACACATGTGGTTCTATGTTGATGCAGAGGCAGAGACAGTACAGCTCAGCATTGAGTTTCAGATGCAGTATGTATTGTCAATTAGAACCAAAGAAAACATTCTCAATTGTTATTCATTTATTTTTACATAAACACTTTAAAGCATTTTTCTTTTAATATTCCAGTTAATAATAATAATAATGCATCGGTTTTATAAAGCGCTTTTCTGGACACTCAAAGACGCTTCACATGTGTCATTATTCATTCACTCCATACACGGTGGTGATAAACTACTACAGTAGCCACAGCTGCCCTGGGGCACACTGACAGAAGCGAAGCAACCAGTATGTGCCATCGGCCCCTCCGACCACCACCAACCATTCAAACACACACCAGACTCATTCTAGGCAATGGGGGTGAAGTGTCTTGCCTAAGGACACAACGGCAGTTTGACACTTTACAGCCGCAGCCGCCCCACTGTGGCTGGTGTTCCCAGAGGTACTACTACATCATCCAATATACTCAAAATAAATGCCATCTCTGAACAGTATAC